CCTCTCCCCACACAAAGAGCAATGCTGCTTTGAGGAGGTGGCGATAATCAGAAAATGAAATCACTGGCGGAGCCAAGAATTTGAGATAAGGTAGGGTAAGCATAAAATCGTACAAAATAACTACAAACATATATTTTTTTTTGTGGATAGGCTAAACTAAATTACTTGAGTTGGCTAAATTAATCTATTTGGATGAGCTAATTATATATTGTTATATTATATAGTATAAATTTTTAAAAATTCAGAGTCGGCTGAAGCCCACCCTTGTCAAAGGGTGGCTCCATCACTGAATGAAATACACGACTTCTGAATCATCGTGAAGAACGGTGATGGAGGCAAGTGATGATAGTACATATACAACTAGTGTTCTAAATATCGGTCGTGGCGGTCGTAAATATTGTACGATATTGGTGAAACGGTTCGAAAAAACGGTTTTTGGACGGTGAGGCGGTGTGTGGCTGTTTGAGGCGGGTCAAACCGATATATCAGGTCAATAAATCAGAAAAAAAAAAATTTAAGTTTCAACCCAATTGCTTTAACCAAAACCAAGTCAACCACCCCCAGTAATAAAGAACTTCAAAAAAACTTACTAACACAAAACAAGCCACACTTGTCTGACGGCTGCTACAGATTGAGAGGGCGCTAAGAGCATCTTCGACCGGTCTCACCATTTTTTCACCAAATCCTATTTATGGTGGTGAAAAAATAGGTTCATTTTCCACCGGTAGTACACTATTTTACTACTCTACCATTTTTGGTGGAAAAATGGTGTTTTTGGTCTCCAATGGGTTTCACCAAAATTTAGACCAAATATTAAAATAATAATATTTCACCATTTCACCACTTATAGGAAATGGGATTTGGTTTGGTCTCCCATGGCATTTCACCATATACGCCCCAGAACTATAAATATAATGTTAATCGTAATTTTATAATATTTTATTTCCTAAATATTAATTATAAATCCAATGTTAAGTAATAAATTTTCTTAACTATATAGTTTAAAAATTATGTTATCAATTTTAAAAAACTGTCTAAACATGAAATAACATGAACTCAAATTATTTTAAATATGATAAAATCATATATAAACAATGATTTCATAAATTATTGCATAAATAATATATTATGTACAACATGAGAATTTAAATAAGCAGTTCATGATGATTTAAATTTATATAATTTGTGTTATTGTTTATCATGTTTTGTTATCATGTTATGTTGTTTGTTATTTTATGAGCTATGTATTTCAATTTAATTGTCTGGATTTCATCAATTGAAGTGTGTTTCGTTAATCTTTCTATTGTTGCTTATTATTTTTTTATTAATAGCAATTAGCGTATTAGTTAAGTAAAGAAATGAACTAATAAACATTGATACCAACAAAATATACAAATTAATCAAAAACAAGCATATTTATATTATTAAAATTAATGTTTTGTTAATAATAACAAATGTATTTATATTTTAAAAACTAATTTAATAATTAATACCAATTTATTTACGATAAATATGCTAATAAGTTGGTAATCGGGTGCAATTAGTTAGAATCGTCATTTTGTATGGTACTTAATAAAATGGTGTTAATTACGCCAAATCCTATTTTCACCTCTATATTTGGTAGGAAAAATAGGATTTGGTGGAAAAAATAGGAAAATGGTGGACCGGTGGGAGATGAAAATTCATTCACCAAAAAATTTGGTGGAAAAATAGGATTTGAGTATTTGGTGATATGGGGGTTGACCACGGTGGGAGGCTAAACCAATTTTTTATAATTTTAGGTGTAATAGTGATATAGGAATTTCGGGTGGAAGGCTAAAAATACCTAAATTATATGAAAAAACGGCGTTATGGTGTCCGGTCGGAGATGACCTAAGGGGCGGCGGGGGTAGATGGCGGTGGGGTTAGAATCACGTTTAAATATTTTTTAATATATATTTTGAGTATTTACAAATAATATTTAAAAATATTGTACACTAAATTTAAAAACCGATTTATTTCCGATTGATTGCGCCAATTTATCTTGTGGCGGTCCCTAACCGCCTCGGATCCCATGGATACAACAATCGTGCGATGTTGAACAAAAAATCGAAAATAAATTCGGAACCTCAAATTTAAGCTTTGGGCCTAACATATCTCTCCACTTTGCAAAGAAGGGCTGGTATATCATTAAGGGGAAAACCACAAAGAGTCACATTTGGGCTTTATTTGTGAACAATAAACGTCATTTGCAATAAGGAAATGCCTTTGCTTTATTTCTTTATTTGTTTTACATATAAATATATAGAAAAAGAATTACCATCCCAATTTTTTAATTTTTTTAATTTCATTTTTTATTTTTTATGGTAACTCATCTACAATAGAACCTCAATAAATTTATAATATTGATTAAATAATATTTTTTACTCGGTGACAACAAGCTAAATTATTAACTCAATTATTTAATATTCCACTAAATTAATAGGATTTTACTGGTCACAATTGTACTAATTTATAGAGGTTTAACTATATTTGACAAATTTAACTGACATCGGAAATTAATTTGTGGTTGTTTAAAGTTTTTAGATTATATCAGTGAGAATATTTGTTAGATCTATTTGTGTGTATGTAGGTTTTTAAGAATGGATGAAATAATAAATAGTTGCTATATATTTTTATTTTCAGAGTTGAATATAATGAAAGAGATTTCCAAGTACTTATCCAAATGAAGTTTGTCATTTTCATTTACTTCAAAAGTGTGGGACATGCACTCATGGCTCTCACATGTTTATATTTTACAAATTAAAAATAAAAATAAATTTAGTACAAGTCCCTCTTCACAAAACTTTTTTGTTATGAGGACAATTTCTTGAACATTTTTTTGCCATTATCATATTGTACTATATCAAAGATTTAACATGCCCAATTTTTTTAAAGAATGGCTGTATTGTGTTTTGTTACCAAAATTTCGATAATGAAACAATAAATTTGGTATTGTGACCCTACCAAACTCACCCTAATTATAATATAATAATTAGTTGTAAGTGGTCCTAAACCAAATTAATAAATAATATATGGATTCAAGTAATTTGTTACTAACAGTCTGTTTCATATTAAGTGTCGTTTAAGGTTGTTGCTCACCGATTTAGAAAATTATTAAAAAGTTTTGATTTTAGAGTAAAAATTTTTATTTGACCAATTTATCCATTTGTGTCTCTTCATTTTCTCTTTATCACATCATTAATGTAGGGTAAATTTGGCAAAGAGAAAATTATCCTACCTTGATATTCAATTCGCTCGTTTACGATATACATGTGTTTCACGTCTCGCATGTTTCCTTTTTGCATCTTGGTTTTCTTCGCAAAGATACATGATAGGATTTAAATTTGACCCCAATTAAAAATGGCACTTTTCTAACACGCTCCCTCGTTTCTCGGCCACCGAAATATGAAATCTCAGGGTTTGAGTCTCGGGTAGACACTTTGACGTTCAAGTTAGTGAGGAGGACAAGTCAACAAAGAGTAAAAAATAGAGAAAACAAAATATAGAGAGATGTGTATTGTGTGTAAAATAAAACATACATTTTGGTGGAGAATTAAGTTGTATTTATAAGGGATACCCGGAGTGTTTCAATAAGAAATATGAGTATTGACATTTGACCTAGATGTTAGGTTTATTCGTTTTTCCATAATTCAAATTTGTTGTAGGGTAGAGTAAAGAGAATTCTTTGAGACCAAATATTTGTATCTTTGCCCAATTGATTGCCAAAAATATCCCCCATCATCTACATCCTGTTAGTCTCTAGTGAATCGAACGAAGTGGTTTACTGGAGAATAAAAAGAAAAGTGCGAAATTCATAAGAAAAAACCAATAATCGAGCACAATAAAGAAGTCTAATAATAGAAGTCTGACGAACGAGCTCCATAAGGAAAGACCATAAACGAGGTCCATAAAGAAGTCCAATAATAGAAATCCAGTATAAGTGAGAAGAAATCCGATAATTGTAAACCATAGGAAAATCAAATAAGCGAAGTCCACAATACAGTCGTAATAGGCGAATGCCATAATAGAAGTCTAATATTGTTTTGAGGGGTCGGGTCGAGTTAAGAGCTCAATCGATCACCTTTGGGGATTTTTGACCTCATAGATAGTATCTTTTGGGGGGTCGGCTTTGTTTAAGAGCTCGGCCAACCACCCTCCCAGATTTTCGACCCGTAGATAACATATTTTGGGGCGTCGTTCCCCAGGACATTCAACCGTTGCGACTTTATGAAAATGTGACGCCATGATTCTGATTGAAAATGTGACGACATGATACACGGTGAAAATGTGACAGCATTATAGTGGTTGAAAAACGTGGTTGAAAAACGTGACGGTATGATACGAGTTGTTTGATCATTGAATATTTCGAACCAAACATTGAAAATTTCGAACCGTTATATGAGCTTAAGGATTTCGAAACGAACATTGAGGATTTCGACTTGTCGCTTATGTCAACGCGCCGCACGTCCCATGGTAATGCGGACGATCGTCATCATTTAATTGGCTTTCTCCGGTTTTTCGACTGTCAGTGAACATACGAGCCATAAATGCTGGTGACAGGGCATTTAATATTTATTATTTATTATTATTATTACTATTATTATTATTAGTTTATTAATTTATTTCTTATAATTATATCTTGTCGGAAAAAATAGGGGAAATCGAAATATCCAACTTGAGATATTATTAATCATGGCCGTCTAATGTTCAAAGAAGAGTCAAACAATGATTGGTCGAGATTCGTTCACTCTCTCATCACCTGAACTCAAGTCCAAACTGAAAATCCACTGCCACCCAATCTCATCCATCCACGTCACTTTTACATAACAGGTGTTTCAAAATAAAAGAACAGAGATTTTTTGTGCACCCGGAAAAAAATTAAAAAAGAAAAAAGAAAAAACCCCCAAGGTAGCACCGTAATTTCCGTGCAACTCCGAATCTAGTATAAATTTCACCGGGCCCCACAAAAAGAAAAACTTGTGGCTCAGAAAATTCGGCCCCCGCTGACGTGGCACCCCACATCTTTATACCCCCAAACCCCACCCCACCCCCTGTGTGTTTTTGTATCAGATTTTAGGTTTTAAGAGATCAAATATTCATGTTTTAATATTGCCATTGCCCAACGAACCCTCCTTTTTCCTTATCTTTTTTAATTTTATTTAATTTTATTTTATTTTTCTCCATTTTCACGATTTTACTGCTTGAA